GAGGGAGTGTCAGACTCTTACTGACTAAAAACCACCCCGTTCCTTCTCCTGCACGTCGAGCCGGAGCCCCGGTTACCCGTTAGGTTCTCCGCGACTCCGAATCGGCATCGGCCCTATTGGGCCCCATCTGTGGTGGTCTGATGGCTCTTTGAGGCGCGCGCGGAACGCGACGCGCCGTACGCTCGGGTCTGTTTCTGGTCGGACGGGGAGCCACCCATGCTCGCCGTCCGCAGGCCCGCGCTTACGGTGGCCGGAGATCGTCCCGCGATCCCCGACGCCCGGTGTGTCCTTCGCGATGGCTGGGTTGCGAGGAGGCAGCGCTTCGCTGCCTCACGCGTCCCGCCTCCTCCTTAGCTAGCATGACTGCTTCGCAAAAGGAGGAGACGGCATCCCAATCCCCCTCGCTCCGCATCATGGCCTGCACTAGGCCCGGACGCGAGAGGTCGCCATCGCCGATCACTTCCCTGAGGGCACGGCGGTGCTCAGCCCACGCAGGGCATTCTCCCACCGTGTGTTCCACCGTGTCCTCAGGGCGGTCCTCGCAGTGATGACACCCGGGCGTTTCCTCCCGCCCCATCAGACACAGGTACCTCCCGAAACTTCCATGTCCGGTGAGGACCTGCGTCAGGCGGTAGGTGAGGACGCCATAGCGTCTCTCAAGCCACTCCTCAAAGAGGGGACTTACCGCTGCAATGGCAGCGAGCCCAACATTTTATAGGGTAGCGTGACGTAACGACCTCCGACTGCTAAAATTAACAGCGTTTTATATAAGTATTGTTTTGAATAGCTCTCTAATATGTGTAGCTGTCTAACGTGAGAAAATATGTGTGTACATAAGTAAATTTCTCCTAAATTTCTCAGTCTACAGTAACTGCTATTAGCGGACATATACATACCTCGGTATACCCTCTTAAATTAATCAAGGCTCCATTCACCCAAATTTTACCTGGGAGATATCGCTTTTAGCGATAAGGGGTCATCCATAAATTGCGTCACAGGAATTTCATGATTATTTGCCCCTCACTCGTCCTTGTCACAGCTAGCTAGCTACACATTTGTGAGATTCCCCCCCCCCCCCAGTGTGACGTTTCATTTTGCAGAATTACAGTACCTCCCTTCCCCTTGTCACACAATGTCACACTTCGTCGACCCCCTCCCCCTTAAGTTGTGACGTAATTTATGGATGGCCCTCTTATTCTTTCCTAGCTGACCTAACATACTTTGTGCCGCCTAAAATTTTCTTTTCTCACCTTTTCAATCTTTCCTAGACTTCCGCGAACATTTCAAGACCAAAACTAGCCAAATCGGTTCAGCCGTTCTCGAGATTTAGCGAGACTAACGAACGGAAATACTTTCTTATTTATATATTATATAGATAGATAAAATTGTAAAATTGCTCACTTCGTGTACAATAAAGTTTATCTCTCTTTCTAAATCTATTTATTATCTGACCTGTTAGCGCGATCCATCCTCGCCAAACACTGGTTGATGTCTTCTTCCATCCGTTTCCTCTCCTCCTCCTTCTCAATGAGGTATGCGTTTAACTTCGCGATGCCCTCCAGCAACGCCTGCATTTTCGCTTTAGCAGACGCCAGCATGGCTGTAAAAAAAATTAATTTTTAGTTTCTCCTGCCCCAATGTTTGTGTGTAATCACATCAAAGAGTTTTTGAACGGATTTAAAAAACCGTCAGATTTGATTCGACATTTTCATAAAATGTTTATAGTGTGCACACTTGATATCTGCATCTCTGCTCACTCTTGGCTAATTATAAAGACATACGGTGTCAAATAGATAGCGGACAGAACCATGCTGATGACGATTACCTTCAACTACTTGCAAGTCTGCAGTAGCCCTGGCCAGGGCTTCCTTCTTGGGGGCAACGCCTTTGTTGACGTGGTAGAATTTATACATAGCATGCACCCACATGCACAGCGATTGACAGGCCTTGGACACCTGGAAATATCGAAGTACATAGATACATTACTCGAAGGCAGACCACCGGTTTCAGTCTTTAGATAACTAAGTACTATTATCTACTGTAGATCCTGGTTTACAGGAGTTGCAGCGGTTTTGGGAGGTTATAGCGGGCTTGTCCCTTAAAAAAACTAAGTACTATCGACCAGATTCTGAATGTTGGACTTAGTTTTTATGAACCACCTGTTAGTTAAAATCGCATGAGTGCCACAACTGGTAGAAACTAAATGTCCTCTTCGTATAGCGTACCTCTACTTATCTCAACGAGATAGCTGTACAAAAAATCCCAATGATTATGGTATCATCATCATGAACAGCCTATAAGTAGCTACTGCTGAGCAAAGCCTCAATTCAAACTTATATGAATTGAGGCTTTGGTGATTTGAAACTTATAACACAACAAAACATCACGCCTTTTTACCCCCGAAGGGGTAGGCAGAGGTGCACATTTCGGCACTTAATGTCACTGTACAATG